ATTAATTATTTTGTTAAAACTTAGTAATTATCTTAATTATATTCTAAATTTTTTATATATTTGAAATGAAATATTTATCATGTATTTGATTATTTTTATATATAATTAGTTACACGAATTCAAATATAAACTTTTAATAGATTATACTTACGTATAATTTACCTACAATCTTAAATTTTAAGAGTTTTTATCAAATGATTTATTATATAGTATAGATGTATATTATCTTTGACTTATCTAGAAAAAGGGTTAAAAAGAAAAATAATAATTCACAACTTTATTATATTTTTTTAACCACGTGGTCTCAAAATAATAATATGTTTAATTAATTATTTTACTTTAATCATTTTTAAAAAATATTGTCGGCTCAATCATATCACGTGCTTTTTGAATATGATTATAATTTTAGCCAACAAAAGTTAAATAAATACACGACAGAAATAAAAACCCAAAATAATAATTGAGAAGTTTCTAGAAACCTTATCAGAAAGGTACTTCTTGATGTCCTCGTTTTTATTTCGTGTATTTTTTAAATACCGAGAGAGTTTTACGTCTCCAGATTTATACTTAGTCTTGTAAGCACAGTTCAAATATGTGAAGATAAGTATATAGACTTTTATATTTGATCCAAATTGCTTTAATAAAATTTTCATGATATTTAAGACAATTTTGGTCATAACAATTGGTATTACAATATGGATTTATAACTTGATTTGATCATTTTCACCTTATAATTGCATCAAAGTGATTTCTCACTAAACCTAAATGTTTAATCTTCATTTTAAATTCAAAAGGCAAGTCAAATCACATGCCACATCAGCGTGGTAACGGGTTAATGCTTCAACCGGTAAACCCGATGTACTTAAATGTTCAAAAATTTACATCTTAATACTAAAATAGAAGTTTGAAAGTACGTTTCCCACAGGCTTGTTCCTGACATTTTTTAGGCCCTGGACGAGATGTGAAGAGGGGCCCTCGATAAGTCTGCTATTTTTTCAATATATTGTTTTTATCATCAGAAACAAGATTAAATTCATATAAAAGCGTTTTTCCAAGTATTCCTATATGCAAAATCAATCAATAATCATATTTAAATTAATATTATCTGCTAGAATATTTTTATATGGCATTAATCAATTTGTTCCATAATCAAAAACATCATATGATATATTTTTGGTACATAGAATGACATCATTTGGGGTCACAAAGTTAATTATTTTGATTTTTGAATCTTAATATTTATGCACTCAATATTAGATAATAAATAACAACTATGAAAAAACAATTATAGTTTTATTATTCTAAATATAGATATAAGTTGTTCCGTCTCATATGGTTGATAATTTTTTTCAAAAGATGGGAGTTTTGTTTCCTGTTTAAGAACATAAGAAATTGTTTTCTTTCTTTTCCTTCAGTCCGAGAACATAAATAAAAAAAACCGTTCGTTTTCTTTCTTTTATTTTTAAATTTAATAACACCACGTAAACGACACTGACTCGAATTAAATGAAGTGGTTGGAAGTTGGTTTCGTATGATGGGTTAGTTTCGAATGATTTTATTTTTATTTTGAAAAAAGAAAATGTAACTTCTGTGGCCGTTTTAGTTGCCAACCATATCAAATTGTCCCTACCAAGCCGATCATCTTTCCCGGCAGCCAAATCCATCGAAATTCCGCTGGAAAACAGTGTTTCCAGCGGATTTTGCTGCCGGAAAATGAGGCGTCGGTCATTTTCCCCCCTACGGATTCTAGTGTTATACCCGTCCGTTAGTCGGGTATAAAATCGTACGCAACATCAATTTATTATTAACATATAACCAAATTTTTAATGAACATTAAAAAGATGATCCATATTCAACAAATTTTTAATGAAAAGTGAATCCCATCTCCAGTACCCACCAATTAATAAGATAATTCATGATACAATAACTCAGAATCAACATCATTTTTCCGCAGCTAAGTAATCCAATAATATTTTTTATGGATTGAACTGATGACATTAGACATGTAGATAGAAAGATTGAAAAAGTAGACAAGATACCTCCTTGAAAAATTATCTGAGCCTAACTGACTGGAATTCATGTTATATTGTGTTCCCATTTCAAGATATTGGCAGCCATATCTTGATCAGGATGTTCTCAAATAAGTCCTATAAACATCTATCAGTATATACATTATAATAACCAAATTACAAAGCCTATGAAGGGAGCAAGCCCGTGAAACACAATGATCAGCTTACACAAATAGAAAATATGAATGACGATAAAAAGAAAGTTTGGAATCTTAATTCAACACATTCACAAAATCACAAGCAAAAGAGAAAAAAAAAGGGAAAAAAAACACCAATACCATGAGTTTTTTTTCTCTTTAGATGAACTACAGACGTCCTTCTCTAGCAGATGCAAGCCAAGAATGAACAGAGCTCCTCTCATTCCCTTTACAGTCACATTACAAGAGTACACTATTGAGTTAAATATAGAGAAATAAATATATAGAGAACAGATAAATGCTATTTTAATATTTTCTTACAAATGAGATTTATTTATGAGTTTTTTTTTTAAATATAAAGTTTTTTTAAATGTATTGTAGTGATAATTAGAGAATATTTTAGTACTATAACTGATATTGATTTTTTTTAAATATAGAATCTGTTACAATTAATTTTTTTTATTTACAGATTTTAACTTTTAGTTATTTATTTTAAAGAAATTATAGAGAATGTGTGGGAGATACTCTTATCAACCAATATATAACCATATACAATCTTAACCAAATTGACCGAAATTTGGACTTCTGAAATTTGCAGCCGGAAATGATGGAGGTCATAATATGATTTCAAACAGTTCACAAACACAAATACTGAATCATCATTATGCTTGCAAACGTAAGTTTAAAGCGCCAATTCTACCATTTTACACTGTCCTAACAGTTTGAGGCCAGCTAGAGAAACCATCAAGGATTATCCTTTTAAACAAGGACAAAACGTAACAGATTTTGGTTTAATTCCTATTCAGTACAACGAATAATTATTTTTCAACTAACGCAGTAAAGTTTCAATTTCTTTTATTTTATACCTATTTAACAGTTTACCCAGTAAGCACTAACCACAGTAAGAGTCGTCACTATCACTTATAGAATAAGACTCTCGGTTCTTGCCTTCGTTCTTACCGGGTAAAATTCGTGGTTCTTGTCATATTCATCCGGTAAAGTAATGTGACATGATAAACATTTTACAAGTATTGATGAGACTGACTAATCCAGTCAATTTCTTAATTGTACTACTTCTGTGATATTTGATGTATATTTTTTCTAACAGGGACTGAAATTAGCAATATGCAAATAGTTGAGGGATGAAATTGTATATTAGGTTTTCCTTGTATATTGCTAGGGTTTTTGATCAATGTATCGCAGACTAAGCAAAAGCCATGGAGGTTCCAAAATCTACTCCTTGTTGGAGCAACATAGTGAAGCAAAACCCTCCACCAGAAAACAGTAGCAATCACCACCATGATCAGTCGCAATCCGTCGTTGCAGCTATTGTCGGCAGCTGCAAGTCTACCAAAGGTATTGCCGTCGCCGTGGTGGATGCAAACGCCATTATACAAGGAGGAGAAAGGCTTCACAACTCCGCCGACAAGTTTGTCTCCATTGCCAATGTTCTCCAGGAAGTACGAGATCCTACTTCTCGCCATCGCCTCAATTTCCTGCCGTTCACTGTCGACACCATGGAACCTTCCCCTGAATCACTTAAAAAAGGTTCGTGTTTTCGGTTAATTACTTTATCTGTGAAAGCAAAATTTGTTGAATTCGTGATGTATTTTACACGATTGATTTGTGATATAATTGTAGTCATCTGTTTAAGTTATTAATGATTTAAGGTTACGAGTAATGGTACAAAAGCGCAATGGATTCGTAAGAACTATCAGACGGCTAATCTATATTAAATCAACATATTTTTGAGCTTTTATCTGTTCAAGCATGGTGCATTTCCCCCTAAATTTGCAAAAGCAGAGCAACCCCCCCCCCCCCCCCCCCCCCTGTTCTAAAATAAATTTAGTGGGAGTAGGCTTTCTGAGTGATCATTTGGCGTTATCTTTATAATGGAGAGTAACAGCTTAATGAGACTTGCAGCTTATTGTGTCAGCTATACATTAGCTTAATGATAAGTTATAGGTAGAAGTAGAAGCTTTATGTAGAAAGTCAAGCTTTTTCAAACCTGCAGGACAGATTAGTCCACACAATCTGTGTTATCCATATATGACTTAGTGGAAAACCAACCAAACAACCCCTAAGCAGACTCATAAGTTAAAACATATGATAATTGAAATTTTGATATAATAACCTCTCCAAACGAGTAATTTCATCATATTATTGATAGAATTTCATAGAAAAGATTGGAAAGATATTCTCCAAGTTGAGAAACATCTATTGATGAATACAAGCTGAGAAGAGGCTATGAATCCCTGCTTAATATTTTCAATAAGCTTAACGCAACAAGAAGTTGCTGATCGAAACTCTAGGGGAAGCATAATGCCTAAACATTAGACAATTAATTAAGCTCGCTGACTAAGAGAAATCGAGTGAGATGTTTGATGCTTGTTCTGATTCAGTATTTTCGTTATACAGTAGTTAAAATGATTTTGGTTTTTTTTCTAAGATTGTCTTTTTGTGTTTGGTTTTGCAGTTATTAGCTTTGCAAGGGCAACTGGAGATCTACAAACGCTCTCAGACGTTGATCTTAAACTTATTGCTTTGACTCATACCTTGGAGTCCCAAATCCAYGGAACTAGCCATCTCCGAGATACCCCTCCACCTATTCGCACAGTTAACGTAAAGAGGCTTCCCGAGAAAGAATTACCAGGATGGGGGTCCAACGTTCCTAACTTGGCCCAATGGGAAGCATTGGAACATGCAGTTGGGGATGGATCAGGACCCGAATCAAGAATTCTCCCTCTGAAAGATCTGAACTTGAACGTTATTCCTGGAGATAAGGATCAAAATAACGAAGATTYTGCATCAGCAAATGGATCTGAACCACAATATACCGAAAAATATTTACCTAAAAAGAAAGAAGTTAAAATTGAAGGGAAAAAGATGGTGGCAGATGGTGTTGATGCATCTCAGGGGCAATTTGATGATGAYGCAGGGGATTGGCTCCCCGCTGTGAGTCGAAGCACCCATAGGACGTTTTTAAGGAGGAAGGCTAGACGTGAAATGTATGATGCATCATCTGAAAAAGACGTTCAAAACGGTGCAAATTCAGATACCGGAAAAGAAGAGCATCTTGATGATTCTAAATGCCCAGATTTGGTCTACGAGAATTCAGCTGAATTATATGCTGAAGAAAAGAAAACGGAAAGAATGACAACTGATGGGAACAATGGTGATGAAGATCTTTCGACAATTTTAGATCAGATGAGGCTYGAAGAAGAACCATTGAAGGCGTGTGAAGATGGTGAAGTGAACGAGAGTGAAGCTGTGAATGAAGGGTGGGAAAAATTGGATGTCACTAGTGAGACGAGTGAAAGTGTTGATGCAACGTATGCGGATGATGAAAGCAGTGAGCAAAGTTGGATGTTGAGATCCCTTTCTGAGTCAAGTGTCGCTTGTGTTACTGGTGATTTCGCAATGCAGAATGTTATCTTGCAGATGGGTTTACGGCTAGTGGCACCAGGAGGAATGCAAATACGCGAACTCCACAGGTTCGTTTATGTTTTTTTCTTGTTTCGTTCTTTCAAACTTTCGATGGCTATGGCTTGTTTTCATTTGTTTGCACTAGCTTTTGTAATCAATTTTTATCTGTGCATTTGGGTGCGCTTGGTAGGTTGGATAGGACAGGACAGAACAAAAACCGGCTGCCCCATGTTCTGTGTGATAATTAGACTGGTGCTGTTTGATTGGTTTTCCATCAAGTCCTATATAGATAAAGATTTTTGTGTTGATTAATCTGTATGCGTAGGGTAGGCTTGGAAAAAACTTGGCATAAAGCTCTCCCCTAGAAGCTTGCTGAATAAGCCACTTTCTATATCATTAAGCTACTACCAAACAGTCATGTATAGCTGACCAAATAAGCTGGGAGCCCCATCAAGCTCATTAAGCGGCTAACAAATAGACAGGACAAGACTGAGTTGGACAAAAATGCATTTCTCTGTAACAAATATAGGGAGATGCAACAAGCTTGGTAAATTACTAAACTACCCATGTCAAATTAAAACTCTAAAACCTTCCATTCCTTCACCTGCCTACCTCACTCTCGGCCTTCCGATCCTGTCCAGTCCCGTCTGCGTACCAAACGCACATGAAAATTTAAGTTTATTGTATGATGATGGTGGCTCTGTTTGAAATAGTTGGTCATTGTTTACTTGAATTTGCAGGTGGATCCTGAAATGCCATGCCTGCTTTAAAGTGACAATGGAGATCGGTAGGATTTTTTGTCCAAGTTGCGGGAATGGAGGCACTTTACGAAAAGTAGCTGTTACTGTTGGTGAAAATGGAACTATTATTGCAGCTCGTCGACCACGTATATCTGTGCGTGGCACAAAGGTGAGTATTTCAGAGTTCTATTAAGGGCCTGTTTGGTTGGTTTTTCATCAAGTCCTGTATGGATAAAACTTTCTGTATGGATTTAGAAGATTTTTGTTTAGGAGAGTTTTTTTTATAGATGGAAGATGTGTGTTTTTTAACTGGGAGGAGCACGTCTGTAAAAAACTTGGCTTTTTGCATAAAACTCCCTCTTAGAGGCTTAAACAATAAGTCATTTTCTATATCATTAAGCCATTAGCAAACAACTACATATAGCTGACCGAATAAGTTGCAAGTTCCATAAAGCTGCTAACAGATAGGCCCTTAATTCAAGTAGGATATCAAACAATCTAATACAACATCCACTAGAAACTGTTTAATTTTCGGTTGGTCATCTACAAATGTGTGCTGAATCTTGGGCTTTATGCAGTTTTCGTTGCCTCTCCCACAAGGAGGAAGGGACGCCATAACTAAAAACCCTATTCTACGCGAAGATCAGCTCCCACAGAGGTTCTTGCATCCCAAGACGAAAAAGAAGAATAAAGAGGTATTTTTATGTTTTCATCCTAAACCCAAAACCTACATCGAAGCTTATGATTAGAACTTATATTCATAGAGGTTTAGTTCAAATAACAACCATAAATATTTGAGAACCAAGGAATCAACTATTTCATGGGTTATTCACGACAAATAAACAACTATTTCATGGGTTATTCACGACGAATAACCTTGAATAATCATGAATATCATGCCTTTTCATTACAAATCATTCATCATGAATATCTATCAACATTCACCATGAATATTGGTTCTTAGGTTCTCAGAATATTTATGGGTCTAATTTGAATTTGTCATCATATTCAATACATTAAAATATCGTTATATGATGGAACTTGTAGGCGAACGATATCTTTGCGACGAATGAGATGTTTACACACCATACAGACAAGAAGGCTCCATTACAACCACCTGTAAGGAAAGCATTAGCAGTTTTTAGTGGCAAGAGGAACCCTAATGACAATCACTATGCTCGTTCTAACCATTAGATTTGTTTCAACATTTTTCATGAGTTTGCATTTTGTCTTTTAAGTTTGTTCCTGAAAACTCGATCCGATGGGTTATTTTTACGTAATCGTATTGGTGCAATTTTGGTTTTTATTTCTCGTTGTCGTTTTTGTTACTAGAGATTGTGTCGTAAGACATGCATTATGATTGTTAGAAATTTTGGTTTTAAACCTTCATCCCTCGTATTTGTTCGGGTTGTTACAAGATTTTGTTTGGATTGTATCGGGTTCTATGGTTTGTGACTCTAGGTTAAGGTTCTAACGGTGTGATATGGCGTGGCGCTAAAGTTAAGCCTCGATTCGTAGGGAGTCATTCACGCGTGGCGCTAAAGTTAAGCCTCAATTTGTAGGGAGTAGGCCATAACATTTTTCTTAAAAATGTAGCTTAAAGGGGCAAGGCCATATAAAAAACACAGAGAATAAATCATATACAAACCAATCTCAACCATCCATTTAGTATAACATATAATTGGTTTCATAAATATATCGATTGTTTTATAATATAAAGCGTTGATTATAAAAAAAAAAATTGTGATCATCTTTTATAAATATTCAAATCGTAGTAAATGGATATTTATCATTTTCATAGATATCTTAATTGATTGGTTTGTAACATTTCCATTAGTTGTATATGGAAAAGACTATATATAAACACACACAGACTTGGGATCACGTGAGACCGGTCTGTTTTCGTAAGACTCGTAAGATCATTTTTTTACACTTGAAACTTCACAGCAAAATGCTGCGAAGGTAATCTTCACAGTGTTTTTCCTTGAAGATTTGGCTTTTTTTACCTTCACAACAAAAAGTTTCAAGTGTAAAAAAATGGTTTCACAAAAATAGACTGGTCTCACATGAATCCAACCCTATATATACCATTTTGCACGGAATCACATGCGATCACAATATAAATAAGGTGAGCAGGTGACTTGGCCCGCAACCTCATGTCATGGCCAAGGTCACATGAATTACATGTGATTCGACCGTTATCGTGTTCTCTTGTTTGGTCATTGTTACTGTATGAACTTGGCATGAGAAGCCATGAGAAATGAATCATGTCTACATGAGTCCATGTGAAACATATGGTGGTGTTTGACGAAAAGTAATTGTGAAACAAGTATATATGAAACAATACCTTAAATCATAACCTTACATAAAAACTCATGTGAAACAATATATTGAGATTGGTTCTTACAGATTTGTAACCTTCTTGTAGTTCTTACACGATTAACCCCTATATATGTGCGTAATATTGAAGAATTCATATTCATATATCGAAGTACATATAAAAAGGTAAAACCGACCTTTAAACAAAATAAAAAAGTTAAACAACGCTTTCAAAACGTGACGCTGGTGACGTTTATCATTGACGTGCCTTTTAGAACCCTGCTCTGAATCCAAGACATACCGACCCAACACCAACATACAAAATAAAATTAGAAAGTATTCATCTAAAGTAATTGCAGGAAAAAATCAATTAGATTTCCATAAATAGAAAAACTTTGTAACATGAAGCAAAGTCTTGAAATCTTTACAACATTACTTCTAGTTCTAAATGAAGAAATACATAACCTGAGTTCGAGTTTCGCCCGATTCGCTCAAAGAAAAAAAAGCAACCAACCTTTCGAAGTTTCAAGATTTCAAGCGGCTACTTGCAGCATTCCGTCTCGCACAACATCCCACCAAATAGATTACAAACTGACATCAAGCAGGCATTATTAGAGGTAAGCTTGTGGAGATAAGTCTTTTGGGGCGGTCTAATACCTTAGTAGCAGATACCATTAAACAAACTATAACTGATTTAATGAGTAATTGCAGTTTTATAGGCCGCCTCTTACCAGGGGCAGACCCACTTGGAAAGATACTGTCGCAAGTGCCACTACTTCATGGTGGAAAAAATTTACGATTTTAAAGGGTGCCACTTTATTGTTTTGTTGGGTGCCACCATATAGTTTTTGAAACTGAAATGTTAACACAAGACTTTAATGGATAAGATGGTAAATGCTCGTGCCTTTGAACTAGGTTCGAGTCCCATAGTTGTCAAATTTGTTGTTTTTTAGCTTAAATTTTGATGTTTCTTTTGTGTACCTCTTGTGTTCTTAAAAATATATGTAAACTGGCTCGAAAATGGGTCTCTTTTATGCAAGGACAATGAACCAGCCAACAGATCTACAGACATATTGTGAAAAAAATAGATATTTTTTATAGTCAAATTGTGCCACCACTTGAAATAATTTATGAATCTGCCTCTGCCTTTTACTGGTTAAGAGATGCTTACCCGGTAAGAGGGGATACTGTTTACCAACACACTCCGACTCACAAATATGTTGGCACAGTAGGAAAGGTGTTGTTCTCTGACTCAGCCAGTGCTTACCCAGACGCTTGGTAAACAATCATTTTCAGTCAATGCTTACCCAGACCAAACGTCATACCTATACTGCATTCTTACTCGGTTAACGCTTACCCAATTTATGTTGGTAAGCGGCCTCTTGGATTCCGTTTCAGGTTTTGGTTTTAGTTTCTCTACAGTTTCCAGGGCGTCACAATTATTTAGAAGAATAACCTTCTAACAGGATTTTCGCATTTTTGTATTAGGAAGAGAGATTCTTCATTTCTTCTATTAGGCATATGGTTCTTAATTATGTCAAAAGGCCATGCATTTCAAAGAATTTGTAAGAAAGGCTATTATGTTAAATAACCCGTTTGTTGCATTATGACTAAGAATCGAAGATAGTTTTTGGTCTTATCATCGTTTAGAGTGACTTACCAAGACGACAAACAAAACCACGTTAAAGATAGCAACTACACGCCATTCAGTTTTCATGTACTGCGCTACTCCAGCCCTGAAAAGGCGGTCAAAAGAGGAACATTTGGCAAATAGTAAGACAAAATGAGCACGCAAATATGGGAAAATGAAGCTTACTTGCAGGAATCACAGTTGTAGCATTTGATGGCTTTTGAATTCTTGTAAAGTTTGCAGTCCTTATTGGAGCTCAATGGATGGAAGCTCAAGTCATAGTAAGATGCATTCACAGGAGGATAGCCACACCTAAACAACATTCAAGATGAGTAATATATTTGTGTAGTCAAAATGCACCCCTTTGATTTTCCAGGATAGGACTGGACATGACAGTTACAAAGACAGGACATGATAGGACAAGACAGAACAGGGCAATGCACGCCTCTGATTTTCCAGGACAGAACAGGACAACTGAAAAGACAGGAAAGGACAAGACTGGACAGAACAATGAGCCCCTATGATTTTCCAGGACACCCCGAAGGTTTTAAAGTATTAATTTGACATGAGTAGTTTAGTAATTTACCAATCTTGTCCATCTCCCTAATTTTTGTTCCACCTATTTTGTGGACAGAAAGAAATGCATTTTTGTCCCACTCGGTCATGTCTTGTTCCAGTTTAATTATCACACCAAATGTGTGGCAAGTTTTTGTTCTGTACTGTCTCAGTCTAATTGTCGCACCAGACATATCAACAAATGCTATGTCCATCAATGAACCATAGTTTTAGCAGATAAAGGATCGAAGAAACGTACTGGGATGGTGGTCTGCAACAACCAGCTTCAATGGGAGTTAATTTTGCCGATTTGTATTGTTTGATAGTCTGCATAAAGCAAGTTACCATCACATTCTTGAAACAAACATAAACTAGTTGTTGGTTAATAAGCTAACTGTTAGCTGATAAACTAGTCATGTTTAACAAAAACTAGCTGATAAACTAAATAACAATATAAAATGACCTAAAAAGACATGTTAAAAAAATTAATTGGAAAATTCTAAGGGGCATAATCGGAAAAAAAGTAGAAAAAAGTCTGTGCAGCTTTTTTAAACGCTATTTGAAGTAGAACAGAAAGAGGAAATAGAGTAGGAGGTTAGATACAAACCTTGTATTTTTTTGACAAGTTACTGCAATCATCAGCTTTAACAAGACAACTTTGAAGGTGCTTCCAGTTATGAGTGTTGTTCAACTGTGAGCCAAATCAAGAAATCAAGAAAACAGCTTCTTAAACTTGGTAAAGTTTCAAGATTTCTTGATAGGATCTAGACTTCTTACTTCTTTTAGAAACCATTTACTATAATCGTGAAGTTGGTATTCCTTGAATCTGATCACAAAAAGATGATAATAGTTTCTAAACTTTATAGCCGATTGAAATCGAAAGCCAATTACAAGATCGGAAGGAATTGAAGTTCAGATCTTACTTCAAACCCACAACATCATGTCCAGAGCTATTGTTGGTTATTATAAACCTACAATAGAAGACAAAAGAATATATAATTTGGTAAGGGCGCGTTCATTTAGGAACCCAGGAACCACCTAGTTTGTGAGTATTCATCATGAATATTTTATCACGTTATTCATCATGAATATTAACAAAAATGGTGGTTTCTAGGTTCCTAAATGAACCTCCTTAGTGGAAAGTTCAAATGAGAACTATAAATCTTTTGAATCTGAAACCAACTATTTCATGCATTGTGTATATGAATAACCCTAACTATTCATCATGAATATCATGCATATTTATCACGAGATTCGTCATGAATAAAACATAAATAGTTAGTTCCCGGGTTCTCAAATATTTATGGACCGTGGTATATACGACGAACATGTATTACATATAAAATGTTAATCAATATTCCTACAATCGTGTGCATACTTGAGTTTAATAGCTATGTATAAAATAAACTTACGCTAGTACAGTAAAAACAAGAATTCCCAATAGAATCAAGCAAAGCATGATCAAATACTGCAACATACATGAAGTTTTAGTAAGAATGAGTTGCATCAATAACCAAAATAGATCCTAAAAGAACCACAGAACATTAATATATACCATCCATAATAATATAGAGTTGTTCTTTAGCGCGCCAAGAAACCCGATAATTGATCTGAAATTCAAACACAAATCGCAGTAACAAAAACAGAGAGACTATGTACACTTGAACTGATTTGACGTGCCAGAAAAGAGGCAGAGTTTAACTTCACAGAATAAAACCTTTGAGCTTTAGGACAGTACAAAAAATGGGCTTTATAGGATGCCAAATATATCTAAATGTCATTATAGACTACTTTATAGGACTAAACAATTGTGTGTCATATGTGAAAGTGTCACAATAGTATGTTAGGACGTATTTGAGATGCCTAACAAGTTTTTTATGACACTTATGTCAATTAAAGTGTCTTATGAAAACATCTTCTATAAGACACTTGTTTTTATAAGACAAAGTTTCAAATAATGCCATATAAAAAGACTAATAGAACGTTTTAGTTTTGAAAATGCCCTAAAAAACTTATTAGGTCGCTGAAAAATGTCCTATCAACTTATTGTAACATCTTCACATAAGATGCATAAGTGTTTGCTCATATAAACTGAAGTCCTCTAAAATAGTCTATTAAAACATTTAGACATTAAAACCGATTTTGTTGTAGTGGTATTCATATATATTGTTGCAAGTAGGGGAGGAGATAATCATAGGGGTCATTTAGGTATAATACCTTGAATAAGATTTTTAATTAAATACATGACCTCCCGAATTATTAAAAGAAAAATGGCTTCATACTCATTAGAAGGTCATGGGTTTAATTAAAATCTTATTTAAGGTTATATACCTAAATGTCTCAGATATCGTAATTCATACATCAAGAATATTAGAGCGCCTAGACCCAAAACTGGGAGAGTTAGGGACTTCCGACAACCATCATGATGAGTGCTAATCCACACGCCGAAACCAACTACACCCACAGCTACTAACTACACGATGAAAGAAACTGCAGTTAATTGTTTTGAAGATATCAATCGATAGACCAACAAACATCTTCCTCCCAAGATAATCTTTACGTGCAATAGAACTGAGATTTCCCCAAGGATACTCAACAATAAACTCGTAAATGAGCAGAAACTTTATAAGTTGCTTTACGTGACAATGTGACATTATAACTATTAATTCTTGAAAGTTCGCCATATCCATGAACCGTAGAACAAACCCATATATCGGTCCAATTCATTCTTTATCACTACTAAAACTACATGGGCGTCCTTTGGATAAATGACCATGAATGAGTTTTCATTTAGAAGCATGACCTTCTAAAACCTTTTTTTTTTAGCTCCATGACCTTCATCTTGTTCAAAACAGCATGTCCCTGATTCAAATTTGTACCTATAGCAACTTAGAAATACACTAGAGAAGCATGATCTTCTAAAACCCTTTTTTTAGCTCCATGACCTTCATCTTGTTCAAAACAGCATGTCCCTGATTCAAGTTGCTCCCATAGAAACTTAGAAATACACTAGAGATCAGATTCTTAAATTCATTTGTTGAGAAGGCTATTTAGCTAAATTACGTCTAAAAGAGGTTATGAGTTTCTAGAAGAAGACCTACAGGCCCCTATTTGAGCCATGGTCCTTTGGATAAATGACTTGAGGTGAGTTTTCAATTAGAAGTATGACCTATTTTTTTTAGTTTAATCTGGTTTAAAACGGTATCCGTGTCAACTTAGAAATACATTAGAGGGTCATTTTGCAAAACCAGCTTTTGGAGAAGGTCATTGAGCTAAATATCCCATTCCAGTCGATTCCGGACACTCATGATTACCCCAAAAAAAACCAATTCCCTAATCACAAAAGGAAGCTCAACTTTGAATGGTAAGTTGTATGGTATCTCACTATAAAACCTGCAAAACGAGTAGAAGAAGCTGTATATTGCTGCAATATCGTAAATGAACAAAACTCGATGATCAAATAAAAGCAACAAATGTTAACAAATCTACTACAGAAGCATTTTAACAAACACTCATCATGCATTCAGAGCAAGAATTCCTGTATTCATTTAACGAATCTACTACTGACGCATTTTAACAAACATCCATCATGCATTCAGAGCAAAAATTCCTGTTTTCCATTTAACGAATCTACTACTGACGCATTCTAACAAACACCCATCATGCATTCATAGCAAAAATTCCTGTTTTCCATTTAACGAATCTACTATTGACGCATTTTAACAAACACCCATCCATCATGCATTCAGAGCAAAAATTCCTGTTTTCATTTAACGAATCTACTATTGACATATTTTAACAAACACCCATCATGCATTCAGAGCAAAAGTTCCTATTTTCATATAAAATAGCTGGGAAAATCGAGAGACGTACCAAGGTCAGAAAATTGATCCATCTGATCACAAACGTACTTACTCCTGTGCTCATTTCCTTCCACCCAAAACCCCCCCTTTTCGTTCTTCAATCAATACATACAAGCAACAAAACCTCCTGTCTTTCCGTATTCAGAATGGCTTCGAGTTCGATGCTTTTAAGCAACCCCCACTCCAAAAAAAAGGTAGGCGCCAAACTGGGAAAGCAAACGGAGAAAAGGAAGATGGAGTTGGGATAAAGATGAAGAGTTTGAGGGTTATTTTGGAGAATTCACATGTGGGTGCACATGGTTTTCGACAATGGAATGAGATTGGGTAATACAACACACAAAACAACGAACATACCAATTCTTGTTACCAACAGAAAACAGCACTACTCGGAGTCGGAGAGGTGATGTCTAAGATTTTAGCAGGGATTATTTGTACTTGCTAATGGTTTAATGTAAAATGATTAAATCGAATGATTAAAAAGCTTTTATAATATAGTTCAAAATGAAATATAGTTGTTTGGTAATTGTTTACAATAAAATTAGAGCGCTAAATGGTTAAAGAAGGCCTAAGATGCAAAATCATTTAGAAAATTTTAGAATCACTAAGAGACAGACTTTTGTTTGTCAAACAAGATTCACCTCTTAACAATTCAGAGATTACCTCTTAATGAAACTATTAAGAGGTAAACAAACAACCCCTAAATATGTCTAGTACAGATGAAATCATGATTTCAGACCCTACACTATAATAGAATGGCAAGTTTAGTCCCTATGGTATCAATTTCTATCTTTCCCTTTGCATTTTAGTATGTTAGATCATCTCAACATATCATGAAAAAGTAATGTACTTCATATTAATTCCTATCTCGGAATGAGATGTATAATCACAAACATTTAAGTACATGTGTGACAGGTTTAAGCATTAAACGGTTACCATGCTGACATGATGGATAATGTGACATACACCTCAACACTATTTGCTGACGTGGCCGATAACGTGGATTTGTATAGAAATTTAATTTTAACATATCTAATAACAAGAAAAGACCAAAAAAGCCAGATTCCGAACCTTCCATCTTCCCCGACGTCTTCTCCATCTTCCTAGCCTAAAAAGAACACATGTCCAACAAAAATTCATATTCAAACTAAGGGGTCGTTTACCAAACACATACCCGGATAAACGCTTACCAAGTCACGTTACCTCACTGGATGAATGTGTAAGGACCAGGAATCTTACACGGTAAAAGCGAGACAATGACATGAGTCTTACTCGGTAAGTGAGAACGACTCTTACTACGGTAACCGCTTATCGGGTAAATTGTTGCATATGATGTCGTTTTGGTGGACTAAAATCTTACCGGTAACTCACTTACCGAGTAAGTGTTCGGTAAACGGCTCCTAAGACCCAAATTTGGTTACCTAGTGGAGGAACAAAAGCCATATAAGCGGCGTTCAGAACCCTCCTTTCTAGAATTAATTTGCATCTTCATCTTCTTCCTTCTTCATCGACATCAAGATTATGGTTTTTATGGGTGAAATTCTTTATAAACGGGTTTCGTCTGCTGGCATCTCCTCCCACCCCGTCACCGTAGGGATCCCAACACCCATCTAATTCATTTAGGGTGTGTTTGATACACTGAACAGAATATGACAGAGATCTAGGTCCCATGTTTGACATGACTTTTTATGTGGAACATACCTTTCCACCACTATCCCATGGAACATGGTGGAACAAAGTGGAATAGACTTATATTTTATCAATATAACATCAAAATAAAACTTAATTTTCTTTTAAAACATCAAATATATCTCCTTTTTACATTTTATAAATTTTTATTTATTATATTTTATGTTTCTTAAACTTTCATTTTACTGTCCTCAAAATATAGTTTTTATAC